CTGTATATGCACTGCTGATCACCGGCTGGTCAAAGAGAATCGTCACTATTAGCTTCATTGCATTTGTGACATGAGAGACCAAACCCGCTATATTTAAGTAGTCAGTCGCAGCCACTGCTGTATTAAAGGTCTTTGCATATCAAGTGCAAAGTTTTCGAAACCGTTTTTTCCTATTTGTTATGCTAAAAATTCGTTAGTCCTTTGCAAAAATGCACTCAATGTGCAAAGACCTTCCCTGTACATTCATGTGGACACCAATATGTGAACCTGGACCACAAAACCTTAAAAATTTGTCATTTTAAACGTACAACATAATGTACCCTAGGTAATGTATTTCAGAATTGCAAAAATGTAAACAGCGCCCTCTAGTGTATTTGTCATTTTAAACGTACAACATAATGTACCCTAAGTATTGTATTTCAGATTCGCAAAAATGTAAACAGCGCCCTCTAGTGTGTTTGTCATTTTAAACGTACAACATAATGTACCCTAGGTAATGTATTTCAGATTCGCAAAAATGTAAACAGCGCCCTCTAGTGTGTTTTGTGATTTGAAACGTACAACAAAACATACCCTAGATAATGTTTTTCAGATTCGCGAAAATCAAACTGTACGCTCTAGTGTATTTGTCATCTAAATGTACAATAAAATGTACTCTAGGTAGTGTATTTGTCATCTGAAACATGAAACAAAACGTACCATGAGTAATGTATTTCACGTTTCACAAAACATGTAAGTTGAGGCATGTATTCACAATGAGTTTGAGCTACCTCTGTTTCTCCGTGATATCTTGCAAACAAAATGCAACCATTTCCATTGACCTTATTCTAAAATGCGGAAGTGCGCCTGTTTTCGCGATTGTCTTAGAACTTCCGATTCAGTCGCCTATGGGAGAAATGACTAGGAATAATAAACGGCAGAAAATAGCCAAACTACTTGCTCAACAAACAAATGTTTGCATGACTACACAGACCAATTAGCATAATATAATAAGAAAATATTAAATTGCAACATCAAGCAGCGTAACGAGCAGTTGTTAACGTCAAAAAATGAATGGAAGTGAATGTGACCGGAAGTCGCGAGACAAAAAGATTCAAATGGCAGCGCCCACTCGACAGCTGAGAATAAGGTGAATAGGAATCCGATCAGTTGGTTGTGCGTGTGGTTGCCATGTTGAAGTCAAATTTACCACATTGACTGCTGCCGTTACAGTAACTTTTGCTCTGTAATTTATTTAGCTTCAAATCTAGACATTTCACATAAGATGCAACTACAAAATGGAGGCAGATCGATATATAAGGAAAGTCTGACAAGGGACAAGATTAGACAAGAGTATCATGAAACTACATGACCGGCATATTCGGTTAACAACAGTAGCCAGAAGAAGTGGGAGGACTGCTGAAATGCAGCCGAACAAAGACATATCTCCGCATATGCTTTTAAAATTAAAATATATTGTATTCAGTTTGATTTGGATAAACTTCTGAAGCATTCAATTGAAAGCCATAACTTTAGACCCCTTGCGGGAAGCCTAATGCAGGTTGCCAAAGATGTTGACAGTATTGCGGCAAGAAATACGAGCTTTCCTTTAGACTGCTGATCTGTATGAATATCAGATGCATGAGCCGGTCAGACTTTTTGACTGAAGGAGCTCAGAATGGGGAATGAGCGCATTAGACGGTCAGCCGCAGAATGATATAATAGCGACGTGCGGTGACGCTACATAAAGAAAACGCTGTGTTCCCCCCTGAAAAAGGATGGAAAAAGCATTTTGGTGGTTGCATCGTCATGTAGAGCCTCATAGTGTACTCAAAGGGGAAATTACAGTTGGTAAACCAGTTAATATCATCTGCTGACATGAAGATTTGCGTTTGGTGTTCAACAAGCGGCAGGTCTTCACATAATGAACTAATTAAACTCATTATAGTTGGACAGCAACTGTTATTGGAAGAGTTGAGAGCGAAACTCTGAACATAGTTTACGGGCCGTGGGGTTCATCTTGTCATGGGAAAATGGTTTTGGAAAGGATGACTTTTGTGTGTTTTTTGTCAACTGTGCAGTTTTGTGAATCTTATTCGTTAAGATTGACCCACAATGTCCATGTCTAGAGAGTAGACGCATGCTGATATGCAATTATTCAATATATCGTGATAACGCACATGCACAATATTGATATTGTGCGCACTTCAAAATACAGGGAATAATTATTTACTATTTAAACTTTTAGAGTGCTTTTTAAGAATATTTCAGATTTTTGTTTATCACAGCACCAAATGCTTGAAGACTTTTATTTTGAAACATTTCACATGTTAATTTGGCTTACGACGTTTAAAATGTTGTGACTATTTATAGCCAAATCAATATAAAAAAATTTAAATGTAAAATTAAAGTAAATTCGGTGACTTTGGTCGTTAACTCTGTGCAGCAGGGTTGTATTTAAAGAGCCCATATTATGGGTTTTTGAAAATTCCCCTCCATGTAGTGTGTAACACAGCTCTAAGTGAAGTGAAGTATCCAGCTAAGGCTTAAATCTGTAAGAATACAGTGTTTAAAACTGTTGATTCATCTATAAAAGAGTCGACTCATAGTGCTTCGAACGAGTCGCCTTGATACCGACTCATTAGGTGTTTCGCCATGACGTACGAACGAAACCAAGTTATTCACGTGCACGCGCAAACCCGGGAGATTTCAAACCTGAGGCCCCACCCTCTGACGCAGAAACCCAGACACACACACACCCACAAACACACACACACACACACAAACATGCCGGTTGATTGAAGTCACACTGCAGATGGATATATTGAGTCTCTACCCAAAGATGAAACCTCAGCATTATAACCAAGCAGTTGGAAACTTCTGGAAGCTACATGCTACAAAGAATACTTCATCTGAGTTTGTTAAAGGAAGGATCAGTAAAGAGTAACTGATGGACGTCAGGATGGGTTTCTTCCATTTCTCTAGTGTAAGTACGTGCGGTTAAAGTTGTTGCCTCGTTTACTCTAGCTTGCAAATGTATTTAGTTGTGATTTGTTACTTGTAACCGCGTGTACTGTATCAGGTTAACTGGATATATTATCTTATCGCGTGCAAAGTCACGTTAAAAACGCGACGCGTGCTGCTTTGTTATTGGAGCTCCGTGCTAGAGTTCTGCTCCCGCGATTTATTCGGAAATTTATTCCCGCGCCGCAGAAATCTGGCGCGGGGACAGCCGCGGGAATAAATTTCCGAATAAATCGCGGGAGCGGTCGGTAACGGGTTTAATTTGGGACGGGAGCGGGCTGTCTAGCAATATCACGGATATTGCTATGCGAATTAGAAAGAGAGAGTCTGCTTGGTATGAGAGAGCGTATGAGAGAGAGCGAGAGAGAGCGAACGAACGAACGAACGAGCTCTGTGTGCTTTGTGCTGTGTATATGTGTCTATACAGACAGCTTGGCTGTCTGGACTGTATACTGGGTGATTTTTGGTTGTGTTCTCCGCTCTAGCGGGACCGGGCGCGGCGGGCAGAAAACGGAGCGGGTTCTCAGGCTAAAACCTGGCGGGTGCGGGCGGAAGCGGGAGCGTTGTCATCCGGAGGTGTGTGTGTGTTTTTGTGTGTGTGTGGTATGGCGAGTACACGACTGTCTCCTTCGTTCGGTTATCCGTGGCACTATCCACTCGCCATAGTGTGGCAGCTAAAATTCACGCCTACACTATCGAGCGTGTATGAACTGTGATTACTTTTTAAATTGCTGATTAGCTATTGGCCATTTCCCTCTCTGACTGAAGGCAGTCGACCAATCGCGACAGACTGTCATCGGTCCAATCAGCGCAGATTAGCTCCGCGCTAAGGAGGGGTTTGGGAACAAATGAATCACTGGACGATTCATACAGGAGTCGCTGGGATAATTAGGTAAAAATAAATGCAGATTATAAGACCATGAAAGTGTTTTTTGACCTTGCATGCATATTAGACTGTTGTTGGAGACCCTTACAACCAAGATATGACCCTATTTCATGTATAATATGGGCTCTTTAACATCAGTTACAGCAAGGTTGTATTAAGCATCACTTAATTTAACTAAAACCAATGAAATGAAAACTACAAACGCATTTATTATAAAGAAAATGTTTATATTTAAAATTTATATATGTATATTTAATACTAATTATATATAAATATATATGTAAATATTTTGGTTTTGTATTTTATGTATTTTTAATTTACATATACGCAATATTTATAGAGTGAGTACACACACACAAAATAAATACAAACTTTTATTTTGGATAAAATGTAATCGTTTGATAGCATTAGTTAATAAATCTCAATAATTAATATTACATATAATATTAATATAATATTAATATAATTATTAATATAATATTATATAAAATATTAATATAATAGTACATTTTTTAATTAACTTTAACAAACATAATATGAATATTTTTAACTGTCGATTGTATTGCATTAACTAACGTTTACTAATGAGAACCGTTTCCTATTGTACTTCTTAACCCTTTTGATTTCATTTGATTAAAACATGTTTATTTTTTATTAAATATATATGTTTAAATAAAATAAATCACTACATAATTTTTGCCGATTATACCGTACAACCTTTTAGTTTGCTTTACTTCAAAAATTGAGTAAACCCATTGCTTTTAAAGCAATTAGTTGACTTTCCTCAAAAAAGCGAGTACACCCATTACCTTAAAAATAATTAGGTAAACAAATTATGTGGATAATTCTAAAAATTAAGGTAACTTAATTGTTCCAAGTGACATTGTATTTACTAACTTTTTAAGTAAAGTCAACTTGTTGCTTTTAAGTTAACGAGTTTACTCCCTTTTTTAAAATAAAGTATCTAACCGCTTTTTACAATAATATAATATATTAACGCTTCAGCAAAGAAAATGTAACACCTGCAGAAGTCTACTAGAGAATAATAATTGAACTTCTTGTTGGATTGCATTATTAAGGTATTTAAATAAATGTGTTTTTATTTTTGCAGCTTCACATTTCTATTTCGCCGAAAAATGTCAAACTCAACATCGACTGCCAAGAGGTGGCTGAGAAACAGATCAAAGCAGCCAACAACGTCTCCACAGATGGCTACGAAGTCCTTGGAAAAATGACAAAGTCTGGCGGTTCAAAGAAGCAGTCGGCCACAGTAAGTAGAGATCGATCATTCCCTTCAATACAGAAACGATTTAAACACGCACTACACTATTAATCCCATGAATCAACTCTGCCATTCTCTTTGTCCCTTCATACTCAATCAAGCGTGTTTCCTCCCACCCGTTCATGCCTGGACGGATTCGATTCCGTCTGTATTGCTTTTCACTCTTGTAAATGTGGGCATGTTTTTTTGTGTACTTCCAAGTCCCGCCGCTCAATGCGAGCCATCTGTAACATCCGTTTGTGTTCACGTTCCTTTTTTTTCTCTTCTCTTCCTCAGTTCCAGCTCCAGATGTTTGATATTGTCTGCAGTTTGGGCTGGACAAGTCGAGACAAATGTTGTGATATTCCAGCAATGGTAAGTAGAGATTGTACATAAATATCATCTTAGGCCCTGTTCACACCAAAGATTCCAATTCGTATATGGGCCATTTAAGGCACTTATGGCAAAATGAAATCTGAATGTGAGCCTTATGTGGCCCATGTGGAAAATGGTAAATCATTGCATCCCTCATTCATTCATTTTCTTGTCGGCTTGGTCCCTTTAGTAATCCAGGGTCACCACAGCGGAATGAACCGCCAACTCATCCAACAAGTTTTTTTTTTTTTTACGCAGCGGATGCCCTTCCAGCCGCAACCCATCTCTGGGAAACATCCACACACTCATACACTATGGACAATTTAGCCTGCCCAGCTCACCTGTACCACATGTCTTTGGACTGTGGGGGAAACCAGAGCACCCGGAGGAAACCCACACGAAGGCAGGGAGAACATGCAAACTCCACACAGAAATGCCAACTGAGCCGAGGTTCGAACCAGCGACCTTTTTGCTGTGAGGCGACAGCACTACCTACTGCGCCACTGCCTCGGCCTCATTGCATCCCTATTCAAGAAATTACATAGCAGCTGACTACTGCAGCTGGTTTAGTCTAAAAAAGCACTAGTACCTTTTGCATTTGGGCCAGTCCAGGGTTCGTTTGAAAACCTATTGAGAACACCTCTTCAAGCTGGTCTCGATATGGTGTTTTGATGTGCACCCAAGTATGATTGCCGCTTTCACACCTGCTCATACAAACCAACCAAAAACCAAACAAAGTCTGCTAAATTTTAACTGAACTAAATGAGGCAGGGTGACGCGGTGGTGCAGTAGGTAATGCTGTCGCCTCAAAGCAAGAAGGTCGCTGGTTCGAGACTCGGCTGGGCCTGTTAGCGTTTCTGTGGTGAGTGTGCATGTTCTCTCCGCGTTCACGTAAGTTTCCTCCGGGTGCTCCGGTTTCCCCCACAGTCCAAAGACATGCGGTACAGGTGAATCGGGTAGGCTAAATTGTCCGGAGTGTGAATGAGTGTGTATGGATGTTTCCCAGAAATAGGTTGCAGCTGGAAGGGCATGGATTAGTTGGTGGTTCATTCCACAGGGGCAACCCCAGATTAATAAAGGGACTAAGCCGAAAAGAAAATGAATGAATAAATGAGGCAGCTGTGTTTTTGTCAACTGACTGTTCAATTCCTTGGTGGCTTTCAGTAAAAGCACTCTTCACCCCCGCAAAGAAAAGCTCATTCACTTCAAAAGGTTCTTGTAATCAGAGAAGGGTAACGATCCTTCCCTTAAAGGATCACGAAACACCAAAACACATGTTTTGAGCTGTTGACAGTGGTATATGTGTCCCACACTGCTAAAAACACTATTAGGACACCTATATTTCACAAAAAAGTGTAAATTGGTTGTTTTTGCGTTATTTCAAGCAAATTCGTACTTCCGGTTTGAAATGAATTTTTGAAGCTGCGTCACGGTCATGACATAATAGCGTGTATTCCAGCGTGCAGACTGGGCGTCTATGCCAGAGTGAGTCTTATTACGTCTTACAGTGTGCTGCATTAATGCATGAGTAAGGCTTGGTTCAAACCAATCAGCGCGCTCTATTGTGCAACTTCATTAATATTCATTACTGTGTTTACACGACAGAGACGCCACATTGTGTTGGCAAAACAAGCCTGAAGTGTTGCTTTTATAGTTTGCTGCCGTTAAGTTTCGTTTTCATTTTCTCTCTGTGAGAGCTCATCTGGAGTCACGTGTAGATTAACAGTGTACGCGACGCTCGACAACAATAACTTATGTGTCTAAGGAGGATTATTGTTTACCTAAGAGCTGTTCTCATCTGCAAACGCTGAGATCTGGATTCGCTTGTAGTCTTCTCTTCATAAAGACGCGGCTCTAGTTGCTGGTGATTGTCCTGTCTCTACAGATTTGGTAAGTGAGCGACCAGTGCTCTTTGTTTATTCAGTTTGTTCGTATCGAACTAAGTTAACTATTGCACCGTAACATGTTAGGACCACAACCAAACTTTAACCTCGTGTAGGGTTTTTACCGCATTTAGTGACCGGAATAACACACGCGGCTTTCTGACACTACCTGCCGTGTGGATCTAAGTTTCCGGGAAATGCGGAGGTTTTTTTTTCTCTCATTCGCCGTGCGGTATCAAACATTACATGAAAAATACACGCTTAGAGCAGCTCCTCGAATCAAATATTACGTTTGTCGGGAGGGGCATGAATGAATTCCCTGAATGAAAGAGCCAAACTGCAGTTAAAGTTCAACATTTAATAATCTGGCAAATAATTCCACTACAGATGTCCATGTACTGTAGGTTAAACACCATCACTTTCTCCTGTGTGTGTGTAATTTGACTCTGAAACTCGCGCGTGCCCAAATAGACACTCCCACACCCTCCCACTTTAGTTCCTCCGACACTCCCCCCTAAACAGAGCTGGACACGCCCACCTTTCTGACTTTTTCCAAAGTAGAGGTGTGAAAACACCCTGCTGAAACAAGGGGGTTTCATGGCCCTTTAAATACAGCCGTCAGGCGTTGCAGCAATTCCCTGTTGTGTTTCAGTAGGATTTCCCTTTTCATGGCGATTGACCTTCTCCTTAATGAATCACTGGTCAGTCCCTTCCCTGCAGTTTGTCATCGTTTTGCTCTAAAGCGCTGAAAGGTGCTCAGTTCAAAGGTTACTCTTCCTAAAATAACACATTACCGCAGATTTGAGATGATGTCATTAATGAGCATGGGCCAGACAGATTCTAAAGGCAGTTTTTGTTGCTTTTCCAGCACAAAAATTAAATGTGTAATGATTTTGAGAGTATAGTAGCTAGAAACTTAACATGTGAAATAAAAAAACATAACTTTGTAAAAAAAAATTTTTTTACAATGAATATGTAATTAGATCCACGTGTTTTGCTTTTTTGTGCAGAATTTTGTGAAATAAAAAAAAAACATATATTTTGGAATGACTTTCACAATGATTTATAGTTAACTAAAAATTAACTAAACTTAACATGTGAAATAAAAATATAAAAGGTTTTACAATTGTAATTAATTACACTGTAAGTACTGTAGATCCACTTGTTTGGCAATCAAATTAAGTCTACCATATAATAGGTGTACTAAAATACAAAAAAAAAACAGTACTTTAAAAGCTGTACTGTACAGTACATATTATTCAATAATATTACTGAAATTAATATAAAACCTAAATAAATATCAATGATTGGCAACATAATCTGCAAATTTTTGTTATATATGTTGTGTTTGCATTGATGGCAATTGCAGTGTTATTTAACATATTCAAAAGTAAAAAGATATTTACAAATATGATGAGTTTAAATACTTATTTTACACTTTTTAAATAATATTTTATGCATATATGTTTCTTAACACTATATATATAGTTTTGAGAACCAAATATGCATAAAATATTATTAACATATATACATATATTTAACATATTGTTTGTTCTGTAGACCATCGAAAAACAAATAGCTTTAAGAGGCTAATAATTTTGCCCTTAAAATGGTGTTTAAAAAATTAAAAACTGCTTTTATTCCAGCCGAAATAAAGCAAATAAGACTTTCTTCAGAGGAAAAAATATTATCAGACATACTGTGAAAATGTCCCTGCTCTGTTAAACATCAATTAGGAAATATTTAAAAAAGAAGAAAAATTCAAAGGAGGGTTAATAATTCTGACTTCAACTGTTCTGTATGTGTGTGTGTGTGTGTGTGTGTGTGTGTGTGTGGGTGTGTGTGTGTGTGTGTGTGTGTGTGTGTATATATATATATATATATATATATATATATATATATATATAAAATGATGACATTCGTTTTTTGTATTTATAATGCTATGTAATATGTGACTGGACTAAAGGGTTTTGTTCCAAAATACTTTGTGTGGGTGAAATATATAGATTTTTTAATGCCAACAATTATTAGAATATAAAGTAAATATCATGTTCAATGAAGATAGTTTAAAAATTGCTGATATTTTTTTCCCTTAAATTCCAGACCTTCAATTTGTTGTGAAATTGTCCAAACATCAGTTGAAAGCGTATTTAGATCTCATGTAATGTAGAATCTATTATAAATAATAGAATTATTTTATTTTTTTTTAAGTCATTTATGACTAATTTTGTGGTCCAGTCACATATTTTATATTAGTTTACCAATAAATAAAAAGAAATGTCAACATAACTGGACTGAACCTCCAAAGAAATTACATAAAGTACAATGCTGTCTTCAAACCCTAGTTATATCTTCATGTAATATATAGTTTAAAAGAAAAAAAGCCTAATTATCTTTTTTTTTTTTAGCTTTACTTTTACAAACTCACAAATAAATACAAAAGTAACACACTGACTCAGAACTTGAAATGCTGAAGTAATGTTTTCTAGAGAAAAGTCATTTTTATTTCCTTTGGAAAATCACTTTTTTCAGCTATATATGATCAAAACACACAGACATCCACACAACACACACACATTAAACCCACACCATTGGCATAATAAATAATTAGGTGTTAGTCAAATCAAAGTAAATCAAGTGTAATAGAGTCACGTGTGTGTGTGTGTGTGTGTGTGTGTGTGTGTGTGTGTGTGTGTGTGTACTGTTTGCTATGTCAGTTTATTTGTCAAATGAGATTTTTCATCTCACATTATTTACAAATCCTTTTTTGCACAAAGCCACTTTAAGAAATGAGTACTTTTTTTTTAAATTTGCCATTTGCACTAACTCGTTTATCATACAGTTCTTTAAAATGCGCATTAACATGGTAATGGAAACCCAGCCTCCATAGCAATATCTCAGAGATGTTCAAAAACCATGTGTTCACCCCCAAAAATATTTCCAAACCTGTGAAACATTCTGTTTTCCATGGAACATTTGGATTTGAGTTTTTTGGGTGAACTGTTCCTTTAACATTTGTCTTGACTGGAATTAAAGGGCTTAGCCAAAGCCGCTCATTAGTAGGGAGTGTGCGCATACTTCAGTCCAGTAGAGCAGGTAGACGTATACTGTAAAACAGTGCAAGTTATGATTTCAAAGGCAACTATGGTATCTAGATTTACTTTTTTATTACTAAATAAGTGCCTATTTAATAATAATTATTAATTTAGTACTTATTTATTAACAAAAAAATGTAATATAGCAAATTGCAGATTCTGTTAAAGGGCCATGAAACCCCCTCTGTCTCAGCAGGGTTTTTTCACACCTCTAGTTTGGAAAAAGTCAGGAAAGTGGGCGTGTCCAGCTCTGTTTAGGGGGGAGTGTTGGAGGAGGGAAAGAGGGAAAGGTTCGTAAAAACTTGTGTAAAAATGGGAGTGTCAGTTTGGGCATGCGCTGATTTTCACAGAGGCTAAAGAAACACACAGACGCAGGGGAGAAAGACAGTGACTGTTTTTACATGGGCCTCAGTAATCGAAATATTTGACAAATTATTAAATGGCGGACTTTAACTGCAGTTTGGCTCTTTCATTCAGGAATTTCATTTATGCCCCTCAAGACTAACAAGATATTTGATTCAAGGAATTGCTACAAGCATGTATTTTTCATGCAATGTTTGTTACCGCACGGCGAATGAGAGAAGAAAACCCTCCGCATTTTTCGGTAACTAGATGCACTTGGTAGGTAGCGTCAGAAAGCCGTGTGTGTTATTCCTGTCACAAAATGCAGTGAAAATCCTACATGACGGTAAGTTTGATTGTGGTGCTAACATGTTTACACTCGGAGAGCATCATTTACAGCAGATTTATTAGTCCCTAATATTGTAGCGATGATAACGTACGGTAAACTTTATTAACCTAGAAATCATTTGACTAAGGTCTGTCTTTAAACACTGAAAGAGTACTGTTGACAATACGAACTAACTTTGCCTCCGAATAAACAAATAAAGACCACTAATCGCTCACTTACAAAATCTATAGAGACAGGACAATCAACACCAACTGGAGCTGCGTCTTTATTAAAAGGAGACGAGAGACAAATCCAGATTTTACCATTTCCAGATGAGAAAAGCTCTCGGGCAAACAATGTCCCTTAGACACGTATTTCTGCCACGCGTAGCGTGCACTGTAATCCACACGTGAGTCCAGCTGCGCTCTCATAGAAGGAAAATGAAAACCAAACCTTCACTGCAGCAAATTATAAAAGCAACACTGACGACCCGTATCTCTAAATAATTCTTGTTTCCCCGTTTGGCAACACAACCTGTCGTCTCTCTGCCATCTGAACACTTTAACAGATAAAAACAGTCTTCAAAGCTATCATGCATATTAATGAAGTTGCACAATAGAGCGCGCTGATTGGTTTGAACCAAGTCTTACTCATGAATGAATGCAACACACTCAGTGACCTAATAAGGTACTCCAGGGTACAGCCGTCCAGTCCACACGCTGGAATACAAGCTAAGATCTCATGGCCGTGACGCAGTTTCAAAAATTAGTTTCAAACCGGAAGTACAAATTTGCTCGAAATAACGCAAAAACAATCAATTTTCCCATTTTTGTGAGATATATATGTCCTAATAGTGTTTTTAGCAGTGTGGGACACATATACGACTGTAAACAGCTCAAAACATGTGTTTTGGTGTTTCGTGACCATTTAAGCTTTAACTTACGCAATTTGGTTTAAACTTACTTTTTAAATTATGCAAATTTTAACTTGATTTTTAACGTCTGTTTGATTGATGTAAGTTCAGTTGACTATGAAAGTTTGTGTATTAAATTTTTATAGTGTATTTATCTTTTCTTCATATATATATTTTTTAAACGAACTGTTTAGTGCTAGAATGTTTCAGATTGTTTAATACAATTGTGTGTGTGTGTTTTTTACAGCGAGATGAAGCCAAGTGTCCTGCTCTTCCTCACTCCTGCACATGTGCTCAGGACAGTGTTGGTCCTCCAGGCCCAGCGGGTCCTCAAGTAAGATCATCAAAGTCCCAGCACAGTTCTCTAGTCCCTGAATTCATCAAATCACGCTCTGATGATGATGACCACGTAAAGGGGCCCAGAGTTCAGGGATGCTGGGATATTTTCCCCAAACCCCCGGTGCTGTAATTCCACTCCTGCTCTTTACATCAAGCGTGGGAATATGATTAAGATGCCTCTTTTCTCTACATGATTATGTGTGGATTGAACATCTGGGATTACCAATATTAACAGCACAGTGTGAGATGACGACCAGCGTCTGACTCATAAACTTCACTTAAAGAGACAGTTCACCCATAAATGAACATTCACACTCAAGTGGTTCTAAACTTTCACGAGTTTCTTTCTTCTGTTGAATTCAAAACAAGATTTTTCTGAAGAATCTTTGCAATAGGCAGCCATTAACTTCCATAGTTGGAACACAAGTACTACAGAAGTATTCTTCAACAGAAGAAAGAATGCAGTTTAGAGCCACTTGGGTGTGAATAAATGGTAAATGTCATTTTTTTAGCTGTCACTGAGCTCAAAAACAGTACTGATGGGTCCTTAAACGATTTATTCATTTTAAACGAATCTTTAATATGACTCAGGAACGATGAGTCTTCTGAGGGAGTGATTGGTTCATTCCTGCATGCACACATTGCACAGGAGGGGGAGGAGATTAGGCCCTTTTTTAAGTCTTCTGTCAAGTTTGAGTGATTAATTGTTCATGTTAAAGACTTTAGTCAATGGTTTGCAGTTACAGCCGAAAAAAGATTTGAGCTGCGTTGGAAATCGCATACTACTCATGTAGGTTCTACATTTGAATTTACCATACGACTATTAGAAAAGTGCGTTGATGTTAAAGTTTTTAATGATTAATGAAGGAATTACAATGATTTATTTAGTTATTTCATTTTTATTTACAAGTAGCAGGGTATTTACAGCTACTGTATATTTCTGTCCGTTCACATTCGTCCTTTTCTGCCCCCTGGCATAGTCACAAACTGCTATTACACCTAAAAACACGCTCCTAATCCCTTATTACCGCCTTGGTGCCACACGCAGCGTAAACGGTTATTTTGAATTGTCACCCACTATATATAGTATGAATGTTAGTATGAGTTAAACTAGGACATGCTACATCAGCCATTTGTCATTATCATGTGACCTACCCGTATCAGCGTTGTCACTTAAGTAACATTCATTAATTCTCTCGCATGGAATCATGGGTTATTGTATCATTCATCGCATGCGCACTTCAGAATATTGCCAAAAGTAGTAGGTCATCCAGGTACTTCTCGCACTGTTTTTCTAATACTATGTATTCTGATATACTAATTGGCTCACATACTGTTTTAAGAGTACTAAATATTTGGGAAGTATGCGACTTTAGACGCAGCCTTTATCTTTTGAGTCTTTGAGTTTGCGTCATTAGTTCTTTTCATGTGACTTTACAGCAAGATTGGATATAGAAATGAGTAAATGAACCCATATCCTCTTTTTAAATAGGTGCATTATTATTTTTATCATAACGTATGTGTCTCATTTCCTTATTTTTAAAACTTTATTTGTATAATGGACATGAACTAGCCACTTTAATTACATTTAGGGCTCTATTTTGACGATCTAGGTGCAAAGTACAAAGCGCAGGGCGCAAAAGCATTAAGGGCATGTCAGTTATTTACTTCTGCTATTTTTAGGACTGAAAAATCTGCTTTGCGCCATGGCGCATGGTCTAACAGGGTTGAGCTTATTCTCTTAATGAGTTATAGGTGTGTTTTGAGAATAAACCAATCAGAGTCTCATCTCCCATTCCCTTTAAGAGTCAGTTGTGTCGTGCCATAGCAAACAACAATTGCGTTGCGCCTTGCGCCGGGTGTATGATAAGGCCCTTAGAGTTTCACGTTTGACTCAAAACCTGTTTGATGACTCGAGACTGGAACGAATAAGTGAAGGATCAGACTGCATAAGTTATATCAACGCAATCTCACAGCAATTTGTGACGTTTTGATTTTGTACGATTCTAATTCGTACAATCGCCACTAAATTGACAAAACTTAAAATACTTACGTTTCCTCGTGAGATCAGGCTGGTTATGTAGCTTATATGATGTTGTCAGATGATGAACCAACGACTCAAAAAAATGAAGACATGAAAGGTGAATTCTTTCCAGCTCAGATTGCATGTGTTGGTTAAATTTATGGATCATGTGAACAACAAACGACTCAAACTTGGAGACCAGTCCGATAATCTAAGGCAGTGGTGCTCAACCCTGTTCCTGGAGATCGACCTTTCTGCAAAGTTAAGCTCCAACCCTGATCAAACACACCTGAACCAATTAATTAGGACCTGAACAGCACTTGATAATTACAGGCAGGTGTGTTTTAATATAGGTTGCACTGAAATCTGCAGGAAGGTCGATCTCCAGGAACAGGGTTGGTCACGCCTGATCTAAGTTAATTATAGACAAAAGACCCATGTAAACAATGCATGATTCTTTTCTCTTCCTTATAGCATTACGGTTCTGACTTGCTTATAGTGTGCTCAACATTTGGGCTGGTTGTAGAAGTGTTTGGGAGGAAACTCGTAAAAATTTCATTCTATTTTCTCAAATTAAAAAGTTCATTCATCTCACTGAATTAGACTCAATATGTAGAATGATCTTAACTTCCCATCACTAGAAAGCAGAAGTGAAGCGCATTAAATGCCTTTCTTAAAAAGAAGAGTTTCTCAGTCAATAAGAATGCTTTATTGTTTGCTTTTCCAGGGCAGTCCTGGTACAAAAGGCCCACGAGGCGAGAGAGGAGAGTCTGGTCCTACGGTAAGATTGTCCATATCTAGTGTTTCAGTGGCTTGAAAATTTGGTAAATGTAGATGTGACGATATGGTGGCTCAGAGGTTAGCACTATTGCCTCACAGCAAGAAGGTCCCTGGTTCGAGTCGCTGGCATTTCTGTATGCAGTTTGCATGTTCTCCCCATGTTGGTGTGGGCTTCCTCCGGGTGCTCCGGTTTCCCCCACAGTCCAAAGACATGCGTTATAGGTGAATTGAACAAATTAAATTGGCCATAGTGTAAGAGTGTGTGAATGAGTGTGTATAGGGTTGTGGCTGAAAGGGCATATGGGGCATATGCATATGGGGCATATGCTGGAAAAAAACATATGCTGGAATAGTTGACGGCTCATTCCACTGTGGTGACCTCTAAAATAGAGACTAAGCCGAAGAAAAATGGATGAATGAATGTAAATGTTCCTCCATCAGTTTCTGGAGTGGTTCAACTCAATGTATTTTGATGCTTTTATTCCAGGGTCCAATGGGTCCACGTGGAGAGCAGGGTCTGCCAGGGCAGATGGGGCCACCGGGTCCACAGGGCCCCAATGGACTATCCCTTCCCGGAGAACCAGTAAGAAAAGCACAGACCTTTCTCCATGACCATTAATATCTTGATTTGACAGTAATAGAGTATAATTAGTAAATGTTATGTTTTCCTTAAAGGGACAGCTCACCCTAAAATGAAAATGACTTCATCATTTACTCTCCCTCATGTGGTTTTAAAACTTGAAGCTTTTTATTCTGTTGAACACACATTTTTTGAGGAATGAAGACCAGCATCTTCTTTTGTGTTCAACGGAAGTAACAATGAAGAAGTGTAGGGAGAGTAAATGATGAGAGAGATCCAACTTTGGATTGAACTGTCTCTTTAAGGCTGAAATGGTGATCAAAAGCAGATGTTGTAGTTAACTAACACTATTAAAAACCTTAGTTTTATTTGAAATGCAGCCGAAATAAAATGAGAAAGTAGATGAATGAACTTAAATAGAAAAACTATTAGATAAGACATAAAACAAGCTTAGAAAGAAAGTGCATAAAATGCAGGTAAAAGTTTTGGACTGAACTTTCTGTTTTACATACAAAAAGTTTGTCTGACCAACACAATCTCATGGCAATTCGTAACTTTTAGATTTAGTTGCTAATTCGTATGATCTAATTGGTACAATTTAGTACGACTTGCTCCTCCCCAATGACGATTGGGGTTAGGGGTGGGGTTAGGTGCCACGCCTCCTTTTTAAAATCATACAATTTCGTACGACTGAACTCGTACTAATTCGTACGAATTAGCCACTAAACTGGCAAAAGGTAAAATACTTACATTTTCTCTTGAGATCAGGCTGGTCTGACCGAATTTTACATCAAAATATTGAATTTGGTTGGAAAGTTTCTGATTTGATTTATTTATTTAGCATTTTAATTGAAATACAGCAGCCAATATTAAATGAAAAACCTTAAACATTCTGAATGATTGCTTTGATAAGTACTACAATGAATCAAATGAAAACCGAAAAAGTAAAGCTATATAGAAATAAAAAGTTAAGTAGCAAAAATAAATTCTATAACATCATATAAATAATATTGAAATAACACGTTTTACATCTTGCTGGGTCGAGTTCCAGCTGGGTCAGTTAAAATATCTGTGTAGAGTTTGCATGTTCTCGTGTTAGTGTGGGTTTTCTCCAGGTGCTCTGGTTTTACCCCACAGTCCAAAGACATGCGCTATAGGTAAACTAGGTAAACAAGATTGGCTGTAGTGTATGAGTGAATGTGAGAGTGTATGGGTGTTTCCCTGTACTTGGTTGCAGCTGGAAGTCCATCCGCTGAGTAAATGAACCCTGAAAAAAATGGGACTAAGCCAAAGGAAAGTAAATGAATATATATATATATATATATATATATATATATATATATATATATATATATATATATATATATAATATAAGGTGCAGGTTTCTAGTTTGTTTAAAACTACAGTAGTTGCTTATTTATAATTGCTTTTTATGTTATTAATTAATTTTAATTTTATGTTAGCAATTAACTTTGCTGGCCCTGACTGGCTCCAGTAATACATAGCGCAAGCCTGATTTATGACTAAGCGTTTTGCACCCATTTTTTTTTTCCATTCAAAATTGCTGTCAATGTCACGTAACAGAGGAACAAGTGTAAATAACTGCTTCATTTCTTCTGTTCTCAGGGGCGACCGGGACCTAAGGGAGACCCCGGTGACTCAGGTTTACCTGGACAGAGAGTAAGTGCTATTCTGTTTGTGCGCCTTGTGAAATGATTGGCAAATTAGGGTCCGTTTACAGGAGATTCAGAGTGTTATTCAGTTAAATGGCTTTATGACTGGATATATGCTTAAAGGGACAGTTCACCCAAAAATAAGTTACTCATAGTCTTAGTTTACTCTATAACTTGTATGAGTTTCTTTCTTCCGTGAAACACAAAGGAAGGTATAACGAAGAATGCCTTGACGGCCATGGTATTTTTGTTTCCTGCTATTGATGTCAATGGCTGATTTTCTCCAGCATTTTTTCTAATATCTTGTTTTGCGTTCAACAGAAGAAACTCATAAAGGTTTAGAACCCCTTGAGTGCGAGTAAATGAGGAAATGTTCATTTTTGGAGGAACTCTCCCTTTAAGTGCTTTTAAAACACACATCTTCACTAAATGGAGAATGATTGCTAACATCCTCATCATAACGTCATTTTATTGTGGACTTCCAAAAGAAATAGACGAACAGAAACACCAATACTTATTTCTGTACATGATGAAGGCATCACTCACTTCGCAAGTAGTTTATTTTTCCATTTAGAAAACCCTTCCTTCCCTTCAACGGAAAGGTTGAATGTAGTCATACCCTAACGGTAAATTACTCAGGTTTGATTCACAAACAGCTAAAATGTTGAATGATACAAAATCCACAGGCATGATGAGTGACATGATGTATTTTTCCCTTTTTCCAAGGGCCCGGTTGGCGCTGCAGGTCCACTCGGCCCTGTTGGACCCGCTGGAGCAAGAGTAAGAACACTAGCATGTTTTCACTTTTAGCTTTGTTATCTCATTTGTCTCTGGTCTTGTCAGTCTAATAGATTGAGTTGCGTCTTTTGGAGGACCTGTTTAAACTTCTTCCATATTGAAGGAATCTTTGCTAATGCTTTTAGCTGAGTGTCTTGTACAGTTCCTGACAGCATGTGTTTTTGTTCAGGGTCCACCAGGAAGTGAAGGCCCATCTGGACCAAGAGGTCCATCGGGACCAATGGTATGAAAATCTTTTGAATATCTGACGATGAGTGTGAGAATATCTGAAATAGACCGTGTGTTTAATTTCCTGGCCTGATTTTTATTCTTTCACAAACTACAAGAACATGAGGGAAAAATAAAAACATCACAATATAATTTGAAACATTTAAATAAGTCTTTGTTCAATTATTATACAGTTGTCAACATTTGAAGGGGATCAAAAAAGAAGAAAAGAATGGGTGAAAGCTTTTGATAAAAACTTTGAAAGGTTTTGATATCTACTTTTAAAATCTACTTTATTAAATGTTGGGTTATATGTGTTTGTGCTTTATACTGTATATAATTTCGAGAGGAGCATGTGATAGGATTGACTGCAGCTGGTCCTTATCACTAATCACTAGCTAGCCAATGGGGTCATTCCAAATTTAACATAAATATCCAGCCTAAACTTCATTCTTCATCTTTGTTTTGGAAACCCCCCCCCCCCCCCCCATTCATCCATCTTTTCATTCTAGGATCGGGCGAAAGGGTAGCTCAGTGGCTAGCACTGTCGCCCCACAGCAAGAAGGTTGTTGGTTCAAACCCTAGCTGAGCCAGTCGGCACGTTCTGTGTGGAGTTTTCATGTTCTCCCCGTGTTCGCGTAGGTTTCCCCTGAGAACTCCGGTTTCCCCTGAGAATTCCGGTTTCCTCCCACAGTCTAAAGACATGTAACACAAGTTAAAGTCACAAGCACCTAACACATGCATACTGGCGCAGTTGACGGTCTATTCTTGGGAAGTTATCGAGGACTACTGCACCTGATCTCGTATCCCTCCTAATGCTCATTGACTAGGCGGGAGTCTTGGGCTCACCTGGGACAGCATGCCAAACCTGCTATTATAGTCAAGCATTAGCTAATCAGAATCAGAAAGACCTTCGTTCCCAGGTATGTTCGCGCATACGAGGAATTTGTTTTCAAGACAGAGCTTCTACAGTGCAACAGGACCAAAAAAAAAAACAGATAATAAATATATAAAAAAGCAGTAAGCAGTGAATGCAAATATACAAATAGACAAGTGCATGTAGAGCTATATTACTATATACAATGTTATATGTGCAGCTGTTATGTGCAAAATGGCATATAAAGTGTGTTGTTAAATAAGTGTATATGTGTATAAAAGTGTATGGCAAGTTGTTGGTTACACAATTATTATCATCAAGTGTTCATAAGATGAATTGCCGAAGGGAAGAAACTGTTTCTGTGTCGGGCTGTTCTGTTGCGCAGTGCTCTGTAGCGTCGACCAGAAGGTAAAAGTTCAAAGAGGCAGTGTGCTGGGTGTGAGGGGTCCGAAGTGATTTCGGCAGCCCTTCTGCCGAGAAGGGTATAAACGGAGCCAGCTCCAAGTGGGTGGGTCTTGGAGCTCCAAGTGGGCTGGGCAAACCTTATTTAGTTGTATTTAGACTTGAATGTTGTGCTTTATGAATTTGTACACCTAACCCTAACCCTAAACCCAACCTCATAGTAACCTGTTGTGTTTTATTAACGTCTACACCTAAATCCAACCCTAAACCCAACCTCACAGTAACCTAATAAACCCAACCTACTTGCGGTTTGAGTCCCTCCCACTTGGAGGTCACCCAACCTACTTGCGGTGTAATTCCTCCCACTTGCAGATCTCCGGGCTGCAGTGATACCTACTTGCTTCTGCTTGCTCTGGATAAGTACAGTTCTAGGGGAGTAGGGAGGGTTGTACCAATGATTCGCTCAGCAGTCTGAACTATTCGACAGTCTTTGGAGGTCGAATTTGGTAGCTGAGCTAATCCAGACAGTTATTGATGTGCAGATGACTGATTCAGTGATGGAGGTGTAGAACTGTTTCAGCAGCTCCTTTGGAAGGTTGAACTTCCTCAGCTGACAAAGAAAGTACAGCCTTTGTTGAGCTTTTTTGACAACGGAGTCAATGTAAGTGTCCCACTTCAGGTCCTGAGAGACGGGTCCTAAGTGTGAACTCTTGAAATAAATATATTTAGCAGGGGGCAGCATTGTGGCATAGTGGTTAGCACCTTCGTCTCATGACAAGAAGGTCGGTGGTTCGAGCCCTGGCAGGGCCAGTTGGAGTTTCTGTGTGGAGTTTGCATGTTTGCGTAAGGATCGCACATGTCTTTCAAGAGAGTGTTTACATTAAAACAATAAAAAAGTAGTGCATTAAGAAAAAACATGAATAAAAACAAACACAAATGTAACACTCATGATTGGCCTGTTAACAGGCGGGGCAATCGCTGCAAGTTCTTCTGATTGGTTCACTGCTTTGGAACTGACAGTGATGAGCTACACTGCATGTGTGAAAGCTGAAATTTACACGGCGTCCAAAAAAAAGTGGCACTCTTGTACGTGGTGCTTCAAAACCAGTCAAACGTGTGTTTACTTAAAAAAAAAAACAATTGAAAAGTAGCGCACTGTAAAAGAAAAATGCATTCTGTGTGAACGGCCCCTTATTCATTCAACTTGCAAAATGCAAAAAGCTGGGGGATAATACAATTACATTTTCTTTTGATTGATTGATTCATTCACTATAGCATGTATATTTTGTGTTGTATGCGAGTAAAGCTGCTCAAGCATATACAACTTCATCTACTGGTCAAAGTGATAATACTGTACATTTTCTAATATGCAGTACAGGCGGGAATGCATAAGCTGTTTCTCTTTGTGAATGAATGATTGTGAACGAGTTGATTGCATGTTCAGGCTGTTTGTCAGAAATTCAATGTTACATGTTCTGTTTTCTGAGTAATGTTTACTTATAACAATTCAGTAACATTAATAATGTTATCCATGTGTGTAGGGACCACCGGGAGCTCCCGGAATGCCAGGAATCACCGGAAAACCAGGAAAACCCGGAGACACTGGCTTTCCTGTATGTTCATGCCTCTAATTATATCATTCAAATGTTCATTTGATTAAATCATGACCAAAATAAATAATCAGTACAGTGTTTGATAGAAATACATGCGTGCCACTGAACCTCATCAGACCTATATTAATGATAATGATGATTATGATGATGTTAATTCTGATTCATTTTTTTTCTTCATCTATCCATCACAGGGACCTGTTGGCATGAAAGGAGAGAAGGGTGAAAGAGTGAGTGTCACAGTCATATACATCAGATGCTTATTTATATATATATATATATATATATATATATATATATATATGCATCTGATGTATAAATATAATATATATTATATTATATTATATTTATATTTCATTATTTTTGGAATACTTTTCAAATACTTCTTATTACATATTTTCAAGTGATAAGTGATGTTTAGCAGAACAAGGATATTTTATTCTACAATATTTCATAATATATTTTCTTTTAGAGAAAGTCTAAAGAAGGGAAGGAGGGGGGGTTCTCTAGAAGAAAATATTATATGAAATACTGTGGAAAGTCTTTGTTTAAACCAAACGCCTACTCCCATTTTCTGAATAAAATGTCAAGATCCTATCGATTGTGTTTTCCAGGGAGACACTGCGTCACAGAATATGATGCGCTCTGTAGCGAGACAAGTCTGCGAACAGCTAGTCAGCAGTAGGTCACCTCGGCGTCACATCTGAGAATATTGCAGTGCTTTTGCTCATGTTCAAATGGAAAATCTTTGTTTTGCTCGCAGGACAAATGAGCAGAATTGATATGATGATGAACCAGATCCCCAGCAACTACAGGAGTAACAGCCCCGGCCCCGCTGGACCTCCAGGCCCACCTGGAAACCAGGGACCCCATGGAGAGCCTGGTCAGCCCGGACCCAATGGCTTCCCAGGAAATCCAGGTTTACCAGGCTCTCCTGGAGAAAGAGGTATGCGATTACGACACACTGGAAGATCCATTTTAAAAATAATTTTGACATAAAGCAGGATTTTAGCATGGATAAAATAAACCCTATAACAGGGGCGTCCAAATTAGGTTCTGGAAGGCCGCTGTCTGGCTAAGTTTACCTCCAACTTGCCTCAACACATCTGCCAGGAAGTTTCTAGTATAGCTGCTTCCCAAATCGCATACTTATGCACTATTCTACGCCGTTTTGTAGTATAAATAGTGAAAGTAGTGCATTCACACTAAAACCTCTAAAAATAATAAGAGCACTTTAATTACCCGGATGATGCACTCATTCAGCTGGTAAAATGAAGTGTGTTATGATGGACACTTCACGCTCTCAACGGCGGCAGTTTTGCTCACGTAGCGGAAGGAGCGGAGCTATCAGACGCATATGTTGGATAACTTTATTTATTTTGTATTCCCTGCTGAAAAATCCAGCTTAAACCAGCCAACCAGCCTAGGCTGGTTTAAGCTAAAAATTTTAGCAGGGTTGTGAAAGCAAAATTCTCCTATGTGAGTGATTATAGCGCCTCCTGATGGTGATTGTGGTTATACTCATGGCAGGTATTATTTGATAGTTTGGTCATTTATTTCACTGACTTGGCAACCGTCAAATGTCATCAGGAAAACGGTTTGAATTTCCGCTTAGTAAAAAAACATTAGTGTTCCATTTGGGACAACACTTCATACATAAACTATGCTGTTAAGTGTGTAAGTGCATAAGTACATAGTGTATAGTGTGCCATTTGAGATGCAGCTTATGTCTAGTAAGAGCTTGATTAGCTGGCTCAGGTGTGTTTGGTTAGGGTTTGAGGTAAACTCTCTAGGACACCAGCCCTCCAGGACCGAGTTTGGACACCCCAACGGTCCTGATGTACTTCAAACAAAGTTAAATAAAAGAACTGAAATGACAAAATTTTGAAAAAATATCCCTTTTCAGTAGTTTAAAACAGCTGACCAAAGAGAACTTTTTAGGGGAGTTTGTTTTAGCCCCTAAACACCTTTGAGCTACTATTGGTCTCTGACAATTACACAATCGATGACCTGGTGCCCTGGAACTCCCCATTCTTTGATATTGCTATAGCAACACATTTATTTACAGTTAAATTCAGAATTATTAGCCCCCTGTTTATTTTTTTCCCCAATGTATGTTTAATCGAGAAAACATTTTTCAACACATTTCTAAACATAATAGTTTGTTATTATATTAGAAAAAATAGCTTAAAATGGCTAATTTTGACCTTAAATGGCTTTAAAAAAAACTTAAAATTGCTTTTATTCTAGCTAAAATAAAACAAATAAGACTTTCTCCAGAAGAAAAAATATTATCAGACATACTGTGCAAATTTCCTTCCTCTGTTAAACATCATTTGGGAAATATTTGAAAAAGAAAACTCAAAGGGGGGCTAATAATTCTGACTTCAACTGTACGTTAGTTGTGTTGGACTTCATTGGGAATCAGAATGGTATGGTTTACATGCATTAATGCATTTCCTTGTGCTGTTGTAGGAGTGCCTGGAGAGAAGGGTGAACGAGGCAGCCCCGGCATTGGCACTCGAGGACAGAGAGGATTACCTGGACCTCCTGGTATGTCTTCGCGCAACTAAACACTACCTCATTTTTAACCGCTCCGTTTCACTGCTAATGATATCCAGAGTTTGTCTGCACACTTGACTACTCCAGGTTTTCCGCTACTCCAAAAGCCTCCTGATTAATGAAAGTAATTCCAATGATCGTTAACATGTATTTAACAACGGCAATTTTAATGTTGAGTGATTTCCATATCACAGTGTTTCTCATTCTCAGACCGTTTAGGCTTGATAGATGAATATTAGCTCAAAATGATGAATCATTATGAAATAAAATGGTGTTACGCAAGTGCTGCCAATAGTTTTTCCAGGAGATTATGAGTAGCTTTTTCCTCTGGATTGTTTGGACAGGTTGGCTGCTAACCTCGGGATTAGGAGGACTTTAGGAATAGATGTAGTTCAGTTCAGACAAATAATGTTCGAGACAATTATGATGTTTCTCTGTTAGTGTGTTCTCCGAATCTTTTCAAAAAACGAACATGAGACGAACGTATTTTGACTTTTAGGAAGATTCTTTAGGAAGATGACTTTCTAAAAATGACTCTGAATACAATTTAAGACAGTGCAGTGATTATTATAAATGAATTCTCAATGTATATCTTTCTTTTTTTATTTATTTTTTTAATGAAAATAACTTCCCCTATATCTTTAACTACATCTATTCTGCTCTCTGATGATGTGGTTACTGGTGAGGAGAGGATCAACCTGTCACTCATATGAGATCCACCGATAGCAAACCAGATCCATCCAGTATAGGGATGTAACAGTGCATGTATTTGTTCCAAACCCTCATGGTACAGCCATCACAGTTCGGTTCATGTACTCTGGTACATCTGGACTGACTGTATTCATTGTCAATCACTTAAATTAGACAGAGAACATCTTCCATGTTGTTCTAACAGCCTATTCACACGGGGCGTCAACGTCAACGCTTTCCATTCACTTTGAATGGGTGATGTCAGGTGTTGCCGAACTGCATTGTGGATCCGTCGGCGCCGTTTCAGAGCCGTTGCTCGCTGCAGAAGTTGGGACTAGCGACGGAAGTGTCAGCCAATCAGATCGCTGTATGCAAATACACCAGCTAGACAGTGGCCTATTGCTGACTGAATTTCATTGGCTGACTCTGCTATGACTATCGCGTTAGCCCCAACTTTAGACACACCTTCAGTCAAGCGTTGATGCTGAAGCTTCGTGTGAATGGGGCGTAACAATGCGCAAAAAAAATTATCGTAGTTTGTGTCCAAACACAATGCGACACGATTCATAGTAGTTTGTTGGTGTCCAGCCGTGACATTGCAGCTGTTTCTAAAATTGCTTCAAGGTGAAGTTTATTTATAAACTAATTTCCAGAGGATCATGTGCTTATGATTGACCACAGCTGGTCCCACATTAGCTAATGCATGATTCACCAATCGGATGATTCCTAACACACTATAAATAACCAGAGATTCTTACCTCAGTTATCTTGGTTTTGAAGAATCTCTCTTTCCACCCCTATCCCTCCACCCTTTTCTCTTTGACAGGGTCAAAGGCACTGTTGCCTCACAGCAAGAATGTCACTGGTTCAAGTCTTTACCTGGCCAGTCGATGTCTCTGTGCGAAGTTTACATGTTCTCCCCGTGTTTATTTGGGTTTCCCCTGGAGTTTACTCCCACTGTCCAAAGAAATGTAACATAGGTGAATTGAAAAAACCAAATTGGCACCATAGATGAGCTTTTAATCAGCAGTATATCTCTCCATAGCAATCCTTAATTGCCATTAGCCATGAATAAGCAGGGGAATTCTCGAGACCTACCTTAGCTCAAACTCCCCTCTCACCCTGCAAACGGGAGGGAGCCCTGAGCTCTAGGATCTTATAAGCTCAGGGCATTCTCCCGGGACAGCATGCCAAACATGCTTTATAATCAATCATCAGCTAAATGTGAACTCTTGAAGTTATTGCTAGTGGTTAGGATAAAAACTTTTAAAATGGAGAAGATACTGTTTATACCGTTATTACATTTTCATATATATATATATATATATATATATATATATATATATATATATATATATATATTCAACATGCTACTGTTAAAGACAAGCTCGCAACCCTTGCACCTGCTTTGTAACCAACATTAATGAGTGCTGCTCCATGTAAAAGTTGAAATTCTTTTAACTTAACATTATAGAGTAGTTCCAATTTCGTTACCAAATCCGCATCAAAAACGTGAGGCACACTGCTTTCCTCACCAAATTCAATGTGCTTTTGAGCTTGTGTGGTTAAAAATAAACTTTAAAAAAGTAAGTAGTGGGAATTTGTTGCTTATTCCTGTTCTACCAAACCTGTATCAATCCGTGACTCCAAAACCGAGGTACATACCGAACTGTTCTGTGAACCATTACACCCATAATCCAGTCAGTTCCACAGAATCAAGTAGGGAAGAAAAAATATCACAACATTTCATGTCAACCTAGTTAAAACAAAAAATACTGGATTTTTTTTCTTAAGAAAGTAAAGAATGATTTGTGGCCCTGCTGTTTTAAAGTATAAAAATCACATTAGCATTTCTGGAGCATCTGCGCTTCTCATCTCAAGTGTTCAGAACACAGAATTAAACACACATATTATCGGCATGTCATGAATCAAGATGCTTATTTTCTCTTAGCTGTCAGCCGTTAAAATGATTTTTTTTTACTGTCCTGTTAAAATGCGAAATGATCGCACAAACTGACGCCAGGCATCTGTGGGTAGTAATTCAATAAGAACTGTTGTCTAAACATTGGCCCTTCTTTCTTGATCAAAATTGCTAAAAGAATTGCTCACAGAGCCGTTAAGTGAAATCAGAATGGAGTAAATTCTCTTAGGAGCAGCATTTCCAGATTCCACAGGCTGCAGGGACGTACTGTGTATTTTATTTTCCCTATAATGTTATGTTTCTCATCAAGTCACATTTATTTATATTGCACTTCATAAAGCGCAGATTGCTTCAAAGCGGCTTTACAGTAATAAACAAGAAAATAACAGTGTTAATGGGGCATAATTCACCATTTATCAAACAAACTTCAGAAGTAAATCAAGACAATAGCGTGATTACTTATTTTCAGAAATGCAGAGTTCATAATTTAATTTAATTTAATTAATTCTTGAAATCAGCTCTACAAGACGAGATTGTTTATTGTCGTCATTCAGCTCAGATTAGTTAAATGTTGATTCGTTTTTCGCATTTGGCAGATTCTTTTATCCAAAGCGACTCTCACCCTGGAACGCAAACCCGTTGATTTAATTGCCATGGTATATAGGATAAAAGAGAGCTGGGGCCTCATGTACGAAGACTTGCGTGGAAACATACTAAAACATTGCGTACGCACAAAGCTGTAAATGTGCGTACTCAGAAAAAAATTCAGATGTATGAAACACTGCGTACGCCGAGTCTCACGCATATTCTTTGTACATCTGAATGAATGTGAAACTGAGCGCAACATGCACAAGCGCAAAACCCCTCCCTGCCTCCTCCCCCGTATGAATATGCTAATGACTCTACTTTGGCAAAACCAAACGAAAAAGCAAAGGTAAAAGCAAGCAAGAAGAGAAACTTTGAACAGAATGTGAATTGGAGGTGCTGCTTTCGAAGGTAGACCAGAGGAAAACGGTGTTATTTGCAAGTTTGTCCTCCGGAATTAACAACAAAAGAAAAAAATAGAGTGGGCAGAGTTTAGCTGATGTGATTAACACAGTTGGGTCTGAACATCGCACTTTGTGGATTTAAAAAAGAGATAGTGAGATGTATAGGTGCAAAATGTTGTAGTACCCTTAACAGTCTGAGTGGCGCAGCTAGTAAAACACATGTCGTCATGTTTTGACATGTTCGGGCATGAATTAGGTTCGAATTCAGCGTCTGATGTACTCATTCTAGCTACATGTCAGATTTTGCCTACTTTTAATCACGAGGAAGACATATAGGAATCATTAATAAGTCTGTGCATCATATTTTATTTGCACATTAATTATATGGAAATGTTTCTGATTCGCGTATGCAAATTCATCTTCAGATGCTGCCTTTTATAGCAATGTTCGTGCAGTCGATCGCTCGCATCACATTGGGAAAACTGGCGACCGCTGCAAATTGTGCTTTAATGTTTGGCTGGTCAACTGTATGGTATGGAAACCTTATATACCTGCTAGATGAACCCGTCTCATACAGCTGCCATTACACGGCTCAGACACTTTGTAGAGAAGAATTTAACACAACTGCCTCTAGGAGTCGCCAATGGAAATAAAACAGACACGCACAAAAAATGTGCGTACGCCAGCAATAAAGCTGGCGTGGAGCTGCGCACATTCCCACGTTAATTTCATCGTTAGTAAATCCAAACGTGAGCCCTTCTGAGCGTGAAACCTGGCGTACGCACAAAAACTTTTTGTGCGTACGCAGCGTTGATACATGAGGCCCCTGGTTATTTACTCCCCCACCTATAACTAGTACTCAAGCCCAGTGTTGGGGAAATTACTTTGGAAATGCATTACAATATTGAATTACTTTCCAAAAAAGTAACTAGTTGCGGTACTTAGTTACTTTTTTATATAAAGTGACGTGTTATATTACTTTTGAGTTACTTTTTCATTCCTGCCTGAGGCTTGATCTCTTTCAGAACTTTCAGGGTATTTTTTTTTTTAAATAGAACAGCTCTGAATTAAAGAACACACTTCATTTACTTAAAAAACAGAACAATGTTACCTTCGAAGAATTTCCTGATCTTATACATGCCAATAAACAGATTAATAAAAGTTGAATGAGTTTGCTACGTTGCTGTCTTATTAGTTGAGTAAACTCACTGTCCGTCAAGACAATCCCTTTTTCTTTAATGCTTTCAGAATAATGAAAATACTTTCATCCAGGGTTTTTGTAAGTTTCACCAAGTTAAATTTAACACTTTTAAAGGTATTTTGAAGACCATTATGAATGCAATTTAAGATTTGTTTTCAAACATCCCAGTTAGGAAAGATTTTCATAAGCCCTATCAATAAAATATTTTAAAAACAATACATATTATATTAGGGTGAAGCAGTGGCGCAGTAGGTAGTGCTGTCGCCTCACAGCAAGAAGGTCTCTGGTTCGCTGGTTCGATCGTCAGCTCAGTTGGCGTTTCTGTGTGGAGTTTGCATGTTCTCCCTGCGTTCGTGTGGGTTTCCTCCGGGTGCTCCGGTTTCCCCCACCGTCCAAAGACATGCGGTACAGGTGAATTGGGTAGGCTAAAATGTCAATTTATTCAGTCTACAATAATAACAATTTAATAATAAAAATATATACATGTCATGTTAGTATAGCCGTATACTGCCCTAGATATTGCAATATTAAATAAGTATAGCCGAAAATAAATGAAGAACTTTTAGGCAAATGTTACTGTGAGGAAAGTAATTAAATGCTATTTATTTATTTATTTTTTTATAAAAAGTTAAGTTTTATTCAGAAGTATTGTCCATTGATTTAGAAAGTGATTGTGTTGGTGTTAATGGCCAGATTGGGTAGCTATACATGACCAAAGGAAAATTAAGACCTGTTAAAAAAAGCCTAAAACCTTTCAGACCTAATGCACAACATTTCAGTAAATTTAAGACTTTTTAAGACCCTGTAGACACCCTAACCCTAACACTCACAGAAATTTAAGGCTTTGCCATCTTGGTTTTTGTCTGTTCCTGCGGGGAGGTCATTTTCTCATTGAGTGTGATTCAACGTGATTACACTCATTTTAATTCAGCAAACTATTTTTAAAAGCGTATTAATTCATCTAAAAAAGTAACTCGAGTTACATTAAAAAAAAAGTTACTCAAATATTATTACTTAATCTTTTAAAGTAACATTACTCATTACTTAGAAAAGTAATATTATTAACTCACATTACTTGCATAACCTGTAACTCTGAATAACAAGTCCAACTCTCTAACCATTAGACCACAGCTGCCCGTTATTCAGTCATTGTTCTACGTAAATTGCATCAGTTATGAAACATGTTTAGTTCATCTATAAAGCAGCTCTACAGAGGACAATAGTACGGTGGCTGAGAGAGCTCAAATTCACTGCAAGTAAAAAAAAAACACTGAAATTGAAAAATTATCTTCATTAGTCAGGCAACACGTGTACACGCAAATACTCACAACACGTGCAAATATAGAAACACACTGCAAATAGCGCAGACCACAACATGCTAAATATATAACAAACCTGACTGCTTTTTGTTTGGAGTTATTTCTAAAATAACATTTCATTTAACAGTAATTGTGTAATCTATCAAATTATTAGATTTAATAATATAGTAACAAGAATACAAATAAAATAAATACTATTTAATTACACGTAACTATTTTGCATTTTGTCAGAAAAAGTGGCTGATTTGGACACATTCATACAATTACATTTTTTAGAAAACGTATGTTTTTTTTTTTTAAATGATGCATCCCTCAAACCCAACCGTCATTGGGGGCTGAGAAAATCCTACAAAAATGTACAGATAAGATAGTACAAATTTATTTGAATTAGCCACTATTTCAAAAACGTACAACCTGCTGTAAGATTGCATTGGTTTTCTCTTGCATTGGTTTTTCTTAACTTGGAGCTCTTTTGACCACCATACAATAGTGCCATAATTCAGCTTAGTTAGAGTTGATCTAGTTCGGTTCAATATTGGTGTCGATGCTGCAAAATGTTTAGATTATGTAAGTTTGTTTCAACTGTGGAGCAAATCTAGAGAAGACAATAGGGTCATTATTCACTTCAAGTTAGGGCAAGTACTTTCAAATTGGTAGTATTATTTTATATTATAAAAAAATCTTTCTGGAATACTTGATTCTGATTGGTCAGTTGGACATTTCAAGATATGTTATTCTGAGATTACCATCGCTAAATAACACAGGCTCATTCGAGAACAAACTTACATTGACCGTCAGTGATACATCCATATACACTCATCCATATTCATATCTTCTTGTGTTACGCTGTAGTTTTTGACTGTTTGGAACCCTCTTATGAATTAATAATACATAGGTTAGTATTCTATACTCAGGCGATTTCATTTCTGGCAGCTTTGTGTTTGTTACTCTTTAGCGGCATCTTGTGACTGGATAATGCTCAGGTTAGTGTAGACTCCATCAGCTGTTTTCCTTTCCGTCAGCTTTGTGTTTAACTAAAGGATTTATGTACACTTATAGCTCAGAACAATGTCTAATTTTTATGTTTTGTAGCAGTTAGCCGTGTAATAAGCAGGATAACGTACATCCGGGTGGTTGTTTTTGGAAAATAAAGCCCCTAAGTCTTATACAACAGTGCTCTTGCTTTGCATAGGGCTGCCGCTAATCCTGTTGGGCTTTATTCTGTGATAACAACCTCCTAGATGTACTTTATCCCTGACTTCATAAACAATATATGTCTTTTAAACTCCATGACTGCTCAAGCCCTTCCTGAGGTCAAACAGTATTCCGCTGTTTGCAGTAACAAAGCAATTCCATTATCCTACAGTAAGCAGCAGTGCTGTCCAAAATTCTAGTTTCCATGCTGAGCCACGATCTGAAGGCCAAAGTGATCCTGTTATTATCAGAGAGAGTTTGTACAGACATGTTTGGCATTTTGAGTCACTCTGGATACAGTCATCCCCACAGCACAGAAGGCTCTGGATGACTTATTGGCTCTATGGCAACTCCAGCAGAACTCAGCAGTTCTTCACCTTCTCCAGAGGACACTTTTAATTACTCTCCAGTGTGCTGGTGTAAAACCATGCATTTCCAGGAGCCACCAAAGACCCCCCCCCCCCCCACCCCCCTCCCCCCTCGAACACTGTAAAGGGCTGGAAACAAGTCCCTGGTGGAAACAGTGCCAAGAGCTGTGTGTGAATGAGATCCACAGCAGCGCTACACGTACAGTAGGAGGAAGCTTGCGGTGACTCATTGTTTGTAGTTTGACTTGTGTTTTCTGTTGGGAGCCTTTATTGGCAACACATGTGCTGATTTCGAGTCGAGGGACGGCATTCCACTTCGGTTTATACCGTCTAGACAGAAAAGGGGGGTCGGGGGTTGGGTTAGAATTTACCCCTGTCTTCCTTTTAATTAAGCAGTCAAAATATTTAAATTACAGTGCCTGAAATCAGTTTTCCCCTTCCACATCCAGCACAAAGCTAGAGGCAAAGTAAAGGACGCTTTCTTACACCTCCTGTTTTTCTTCAAGGGCCACCAGGGCAGTCTCAGACCGGTCCCCCTGGTCCCTCAGGCTCACCCGGGCCCCGAGGACCACCAGGACAACATGGTTCTTCTGGAGTCACAGGACCACCAGGACCTCCAGGATACTGTGACTCCTCTCAGTGCGGCATGCCTTACAACGGACAAGGCTACCCAGGTACATCCAGTGCACTTGATCAAACAGTACTCTTCAGCTCTGTTCCCAAACCTAGTGAGACAATATGGAAAGGAATCTGACATTAGCATGTTGCTAAGCTAACACCCTGACATGCTACTAAACACATGCAAATATTGAGTAAAATAGTAAATACAGAACTCATTTTTCTTTACTTGAATTTAAAGTATGATGGGAGAAGATCTTTTAAAGGGACAGTTCATCCAAAAATGAAAATTCTGTTATTATTTTCTTGTTTTTTTTCTAAATATTTTTTTGATTCTTTCTTCGGATGAATATATATTTTAAATATATATTAGCATATATGTTCCTACTATGGATGTCAATGTTATATTTTGTGTTTAACAGAAGATAGTAGTTACTGAAGAAAACTAATCAACTGGTACCTTGATGTCAAAACAACATCAAAATTTGGCCCGAAACGCCAACTGATTCGACATCCGTTTGACATCCACACACTGATGCCCTTTTTGACCAATAAAAAAAATGACCCAAAAAGTGTTTGAGAAAACTTTTATTCAGCCGAAAGTATTTTGTATCTCTACAATGCATGTAAACAACCTTGATGTAAAATCGACATCAAATAGACGCCTAACATTGGCGTCAAAACACATCAAAAATCAATGAGAGAAAATTCCAATGTTAGATGTTAAACGTCAATGTTAGGGTGCTTTCACACCTAGACGTTTGTTTCGAAATCTGTCTCGTTTGCCCTGTTAGCGCGGTTCGTCTGACATATGCGGAACCAGCAATCGCACTCGCATCCATGCCAAAGAAATCGGTCCGATATCGCCTGAATGTGGTGGTCTCAGCTCGATTGAAACGAACTCTGGAGCGGATCGATTGTAGTGAAAAAGCAAAACAAACTAACCAACCAGGCTATGTCGCAGTTTATTGTGTATATGTAATTGCCATATATACGGATATATAAAGAGAGATTGATGAAATATGAAAGTTAAAGCATGCGAAATATTAGTGCTGCTTAACCATTACAAAAATTGACTGAAATTACCATCTAATAGCGTTTCCATATTTTTATCTTATAATATTTTGTATTAGGCCAATTGTTTTGTTAATTTCTAGATGACACCTCGAAAGAAAGATCAACATTGTTCTGCTTCACTTATTTCTCGCTATAATTTAAGCCTATAATGCAGAATGTCAACCTTTTTTATAGATTGATTGATTCAATAGAGGATTTTTACAACTCTTGATAATTAAAATGAGGTTTTGCTTGAGAAAGCCTGAACTCTGATTTGTATTTGGTGAGGATGTCTGCGAGTGTCAAAATTAAAGTGCACCTTTTCACTTATAATGCCTTATTGCTTATCATCATAAATTAAAATAATGACGTGACAGCAGAGCAGAATCTGTGGGAATTTGAAAATAAACCCTGAAAGTTTGACCAATGTGAGGAGAGTTTATTCGCACGTGACTTGTTTTAACTATTTTGATCTGTTTAGAAACATTGCCGTGTGAAAGCAAACTACACCAAGAACAAAAATAAACATCGTAACAATTTAAATTCCTGTTTTAGAATCCATCTACACGTGTGAAAGCACCCTAAGATGTCTATTTGATATCGTTTTGACATCAAGGTAGTCAATTTACATCAAATCGTTAGCATTTTTGATGTTTTTGTTGTCGTTTTGATATCAAGGTAGTCATTCGATTTCAAATCTTTAAGCATTTTTGTTGCCATTTTGACATCAAGGTAGTCAATCGACTTCAAATCTTTTAGCATGCGTTTTTGTTGTCATTTCGACATTAAGGTAGTTAATCGTCTTCAAATCTTTTATTAGTTTTGTTGTAATTTTGACATCAAGGTAGTTAATAGACTTCAATTTTTTTAGCATATTTGATGTTTTTGTTGTCGTTTTGACATCAAGATAGTCAATCAACTTTAAATCTTTTAGCATTTTTGATGCATTTCTGTTGTCGTTTTGACATCAAGGTAGTCAATCGACTTCAAATCTTTTATCTTTTTTGTTGTCGTTTTGACATCAAGATAGTTAATCGACTTCAAATCTTTTATCTTTTTTGTTGTCGTTTTGACATCAAGATTGTTAATCGACTTCAAATCTTTTAGCATTTTTGATGCGTTTTTGTTGTCATTTTGACATCAAGGTAGTCAATCGACTTCAAATCTTTTAGCGATTTTTGTTGTCGTTTTGACATCAAGGTAGTCAATCAACTTCAAATCTCTTAGCATTTTTGATGCATTTTTGTTCTTGTTTTGGCATCAAGGTAGCTAATCGACTTCAAATCTTTTATCATTTTTGTTGTCGTTTTGACATCAAGGTAGTTAGTAGACTTCAAATTTTTTAGCATTTTTAATGTTTTTGTTGTCGTTTTGACATCAAGATAGTAAAATTGACATCAAATCTTTTAGCATTTTTGATGCATTTTTGTTTTCGTTTTGACATCAAGGTGGTCAATCGACGTTAAATCTTTTAGCGTTTTTGTTGTTTTGACATCAAGATAGTCAATCGATTTCAAATCTTTTAGCGTTTTTGTTGTCGTTTTGACATCAAGGTAGTCAATCGACTTCAAATCTCTTAGCATTTTTGATGCGTTTTTGTTCTTGTTTTGGCATCAATGTAGCTAATCGACTTCAAATCTTTCAGCATTTTGACATCAAGGTGGCCATGGGTACTAATGATTTTCATTTTTGGCCAAACTATCCATTCAACTCCCAATCTGTTTCGACAGACTAAATCTTATGAAAAGCCTCCAGCAGCTCACTAGTGACTGGAACAGAGCTCTCGCATTAACTGCTAATGAAATCATTGCTATCAGTTTGCTTAACAATATAGCTAATCGGAAATAATAATACAAAAAAACTGCATGATTATGTTTTTTTTTTCACTTAAAGTGAGCTGATTTGCCACCAAAATAAACTAACCCCAGTTCTTTAACCCGTTTCAGGTTTTGCGTAGTATGCTATCTAGACTGCCTGATCCTTTACACATCCCGAGATTAGCACTCACTCTTGAGCTAATAAGGATAACCACCATGGATATGATTGCTGCACATTTGCTGACCAACTCTTTAAAAATCGATCAATCAAACCAAAGGACTGGACTGCCACTAACACCAGCTGAGCGCTTCTATATCATACTGGAGCCAGTGATGGTTGCATCTAGATGAGCGAGAGAGCTGAGGACGCATGTCAAACTACTAACAGCGGTAGATGGTGACATGACTGTACACAAAACTAATCGTGCCTTGTAAATGTTCTGGATGACCCAGTGGGCTACAGTTAACGGCAGTCGTCACGCTTGTGCCTGATAACTTGCTTCTCGCTGACGTTTCACGTTTATTCGTGGTTTCGGTTTATATGTATAGGCAACGCTCAGGTTCAAAACGCAGTGTGTGCCATTAGTATAGTCAACCATGAATTCTTATATATTTTTTTGATTTATATATGTGTATAATACCTCACAAAGATCCAATTTGTTTGTTTATTTTAACGCGAGTGTGTTAGATTAGTAATAGTTTATTGACAAATCCAACGCAAAGTTGTTGACAACTTCCGTATGGGTTTTGTGTTTGGTTAATATAGATGTTCTGTATTACTTTTTCGATAATTAACGCTAAAAATGAAAATGATTTGTTAAAATGACGCACATGCTCAGCTGGCCAAATAATATTTCCAAGCAGGCCCCTACCAGCCCGGGTCTGAAACCTACGTAGTGCCCATACCAGCCGCGCCATCGGAAGATATCGAGACACAGTCGCCAGGATTGCGCTACCAGCGCGGAAAAAGGTCGCTATCAAGAAAGGAAGCCGAAAGAATCAAAACATAAACGTGGAAGTGTGTCCGTCAAAAACTGCAAGCCTCCTTCGTTTTGGTCGATTGAGGAGGCTGTCGTACCAAACCTGTGTGTTCGCTGATGTTTGCTTGTAACATAACTGCATTTTTTGTATTTGTAAGAATCTCATGTTCAGTACTAGGTCCTATAAACACTCATGAACTGATTCCTTGCACATATGAAAGTTTGCAAACGTGCTTCTCTCTTTCTCGAGGAAAGCGGCTAAATCGGTTCGACTTCCCTTTATTCTCCCTTTAGACCTGGCTTTTGTTATTCTAAACCCTATATTTACCTGTCGTATACCAGCTCACACCAAAAAAAAAAGAGGAATTGCATGCCTGTGTTGTATATTTAGTAAGGACGTTTACCATCAGAATATAGTTGTTCGTTTCAGTGATATCCCTTGAAATGCAGTTGGAATTCGTTGCAAGTCCTTCGACATAGAAGATCTTTTTTTGTTTCCATGTCTGAATTGCACAGTGTGAATTCCACAGCCTTATTTTCTTATTTATTTCTGAATCAGAAGAGGCATTTTTCAATAAAACTACTGAAAATGTTGAACCGCTGTTGTCGTGTGTTCTGTGTGCACTATAGTACATTTTGTTCTACTAATAATTCATGTAATAAACGTTACATACTGTGGAATTTTTACACACACACACACACACACACACGAAAGAAGAGATATCAGCAATCAGTGTTTATGTCTGCTGGAGCGTCTGGAATTGCTTACTCAGCACATCATAGTCATGATCAGTGTTTAAGGTCTGCATGACTTCAAAATCGACTGTTTACCCAACTGAAAAAAACAGCCTAAACCAGCCTAGGCTGGTTGGCTGGTTTTAGCTGGTCGACCAAGCTGGTTTTAGAGGGGTTTTGGCCATTTCCAGGCTGGTTTACAGCCATTTCCAGCCTGGTCTTAGCTGGTCAGGCTGGGAGATGACCAGCTAAAACCAGCTTGACCAGCCGAGCTAAATTCAGCCAAAACCAGCTATGTCCAGTTTAAACCAGGCGGGTCAAGCTGGTTTTTGCTGGATTTAGCTGGTCATTTTTCAGCCTGACCAGCTAAGACCAGGCTGTAAATGGCTGAAAACCAGCCTGGAAATGGCCAACACCCCTCTAAAACCAGGCTGGTCAACCAACTAAAACCAGCCAACCAGCCTAGGCTGGTTTAAGCTGGATTTTTCAGCAGGGTATTGTGCTAGCGCACATTGTTAAAGTGAAAATTATTAATCCACCGAATAATTTTTTTTTTTTTTTCATCAAAATCTGATGATTTGCTTCAGTTCTGGAATGGTGGTTGTTTTCTGATGAAGTCAGTTTGACATATTGGGTGAACTATGCTTAGCTACGCCCCTCTAATAATCTATTACAGGCCGAGGGATAATAGATGACAAAAAATATATAAAACTTTCATTGTAAATGTTAAATAAAGTGTAAAAAAAAGAGGGTGTCACATTTTAGTGTCGTGTTTATTAAGGTATATTTGAACAAATCATTTCAGTCAATGATTCATTCAAACAAATGGATCAAACAAATGACTCAAAGAATCAGTAATTAAGGACTTGCATAATCTGTTCAGTATCCAGGGTGTCCGTGAGGTAGTTAAAAGGTAATGAAAATAGCCAAAATTAAGGGCATTAAAAAGTATTGAGTAATAAGCTTCATCTGACGAGGTGTTATTTTTAAGCCCAACTTTTTGGATACATTTTCAATTTGTGTTAAGTGTTTATTCTAAATTTTGTGTGGATTTTTTGATGTTGAGAGTAAGACCTGAGCTCTGTCATGAGAGGTGGTGTTCTTGCGCGCTCTGAAACAAACTGTGTACCTGCTTGGCTTGCTGCCAACCATATAGGTGAGCTCGCTTTTGTTCATTACTTAAATGAAACATGGGGAAATGCAAGTTTTCTGACCAAATTTTGAGCCCTGAGACAGAATTTATCGGCACAGTTCAGCACGGTTGTCTAACTTTGCCAAGAATTCCAGGCTGAGAACGGTTTGTAATCGTGCCGCACAGGCTCAGTGGAGAAGCAACCGTAACCGTACCGAACTGTTCTTAGAAGACATTGATGACGTATATGACATTGCTTAAAAACTATGAACAAAGGCACCTTTGTGACAGCTTGATTAATCCCTCTGCTTTACTTAAATGTTATCTGCAATATTTTATTTCATTAGGAAAGATGTTTCATTTACGCCACTACAGCTGCAGCTGTAAGTCGTGCTGGTATTAAATTCTTTTTGAAGGTATTAAAAAAGGTGGTAAAAGGTATTCAATTCAACTTAAGAAGTTCTGTATATACCCTGAAATCATTCTTATTTGTCATTTTCAACTAATCATTTCTATCAATGATTCATTCACACAAATGAAATGAACAACTGAGTCAATGAATCGGTCAAGACAACCATCTGTTGGTGGTTTTGGTCCCCTATTTGAGGCATTTTTGAATACAGTACCTTAGAGTCATTTCAATCAATGATGCAAAAATCCACTTAATCACATGAATCAAATAAATGATGCTGCGGTCAACACTAGAGTTTGAGCATGTGAAATTCTGTCGTACGGCGCTTCTAAAGAGGGCGGGAATTAAACAATATGATTAGACATTTTTAAAAATCCAGCGATTGCTCCATGTTTTAAATTTCTGTCCAGAGAGGTCATGCTTTGATTCTTGCTTGGTCTCACACAGTCAAGTGATGTGATTTCACAGGTCAGAGTTTACCAAGCTTGAACTTTCCAAACGCAGCGAACAGCAAAACTTAACGCACAACCTTGCGTTTCCAGTGTGATGCATTTGCGTGCGTATGAATGGAAGTCTATGGGGAGAAAAGTCCAGAGTGACCGCAGTTTCAGTCATGAGTCATCATTTTAATTAATGATTCATTTCATTTCAATGATTCAATCACACAAATAAGTCAATGAATCTTTCAATAACACAAGGACTTGCACAATCTATTGGCAGTTTTAGTGTCATAATTAAGTATTTTTAAACAAATCACTTGGTAATGATTTTTTCCTACAAATGAATGAGTCAAATGAACAAATGACTCAATGAATCAGTCATTAAGAAGTATTTGCATAATCTCTTTAGTGTCAGACATTTTTAACAAATCGTTTTAGTCAATGAATCATTCACACAAATCAAACAATTTAACAAATGAGTCAATGAATCATTTATTAAGACAACACCATTTGTTTGTGGTTTTAGTGTCAAATTTCGAGGAATAAATAATTTCAGTCAATGATTTAAACACCCATCTACATAAAAATCAGTCATGAGTCAGCCATTAACACAGAGATTTGTGCCTACTGTGTCAATTATTTAGGAATTTTTAAACAAATCATTTGTCAATGATTCTATCTCACAAATGAATCAGTCAAATTTACAAATGACTCAATCAGTCTTGCACAATCTGTTTCAAGTCATATTTATTTAGGCCTTTTAATTTCAAAGAATCATTCACACAAATCAGTCAAGTGAACAAATGAGTCAATGAATCATTCATTAAGAGAGGAAATTGTGCCATCTGTTGGTTGTTTTCGTGTCATATTATTGAGGTATTTTGAACAAATAATTTCAGCCAATGATTCTTTCACTCAAATGAATCAGTCAAATAAACAAATGATTCAAATAATCAATAATTAAGAAGGACTTGCATTAGTCATATTTAAGCTATTTTCAACTAAACATTTTTAGTCAATGATTCATTCACACAAATAAATCGGTCAAATGAGCAAATGAGTCAGTGAATCATTCATTAAGACAACACATTGCACCATCTGTTAGCGGTTTTAGTCTCATATTGAGGTATTTTTGAACAAATCATTTTAGTCAATGATTCTTTCACACAGAGTTAATCAAGTGAACAAATGATTCAATGAATTATGTTATTGAGACAGGGACTTGTGCCATCTGTTGGGGGTTTTACTCTCATATTTATTGAGGTATTTTCAGACAAATTTCAGTCAATAGTTCGTTTACACTAATTAATCAGTCAAATTAACAAATGAGTCAAGGGATCTTTTATTAAGACAGCATTAGGTGCCATCTGTTGGTGGTTTTAGTCATATTTTAAGGGATTTTTGAGCAAGTCATTTCAGTCAATGATTTCATTTACACTAATAAATCAAGCAAATGAGTCAATGAATCTGTCATTAAGACACGTCCATTATCTGTTAGTGGTTTTAGTGTAATAATTATTTAGATATTTTTGTCAAGGATTCATTTACACGACTAAATCAAGCTAAATGAACAAATTACTTAAATAATCAGTCATTAACACAGGTACTTAATCTGTTGGCCATTTTAGTCTAATATTGACAAGTCAATGATTCTTTCACACAAATGAATTAGTTAAATTAACAAATGAATCGGTCATCAAGACAGATTGCACAAGTGTCACATTTATTTAGACCTTTTTAAAAAACGAATCCTTTCAATCAATGATCCATTCACACAAATAAATCAATTAAATTAATAAATGAGTCAACGAATCAGTCATTAAGAAAGGAACTTGCGCCATCTGTTGAAGATTTTAGTGTAATTTATTTGGGTATTTTAGACAAATAATTTAAGTCAATGATTCATTCACACAAATTAATCAGTGAATTGAACAAATGATTTACTGAATCATTCATTAAAACAGGGAGTTGTGCCATCTGTTGACAGTTTTAGTGTAATAATTATGCTTTTATAACAAATTATTTCAGTCAATGATTCATTCACACAAATTAACAAATGAGTCAATGAATCACTCATTAACACAGGGACTTGCGCCAGCTGTTGGCGGTTTTAGTGTCAATTATTTAGGTATTTTCGAACAAATCATTTGTCAATGATTCTTTCACACAAATGAATCAAGCTAAATGAACAAATGATTCAATGACTCTGCGATTTAAATGTCATTTATTTAGGTCTTTTTGAGCTCTTTTCAGTAAATGATTCGTTTAAATAAATGAATCAGTCATTAAGACCAGAGCCAGTGCTTTCTTTTTTCAGTTGTCTTCTAAATTATTTAGTCTGTTAAAAATAATCTGCTTATTATAGTGTTATTTAAAATGTATGAATGATTTTCAACATCACTGAAGTCATTTATACGTCTAATTTAAGGGTTAAACCGAGTAGAAGCATCTTTTTAAGACAACAGTTGCAGGTTGCCACTTTTTACAGTGTAATAAAGCACTTGAGAGGGACCTCTATAAAACAGTGGATCTTCTATTTCCAAAGCAAATAAAAACAGTGGAGGAGTTCAGATGTTCTTGTAAATGCCAAAGACGTTCATTAAGATAAGCTACTTTAGAAATCACAGTCTGTGCTCCGAGATTCATTTTGACACATTAAAGGCACGTAATCACTATTTCATATCTGATGTGTGGGATAAAATGTGTCGAAAGTTCTCCTCGAACACACTTCTGCTCAATGGATCTCAAAACATTTCGATCAAAGGAACACGAAGGACATCTGAAGGTGAAAAAGAGCGAACAAGCTGCCAAATGTCTGGAATGCTGTATTACATAACCCTTCGCTTCTGATACTACACCTCTATAAACGCTGCAAATG